GACAGAGAGGATAGATGGATAGACAGAGAGGATAGATGGCTAGACAGAGAGGATAGATGACAGAGAGGATAGATGGATAGACAGAGAGGATAGATGATAGAGAGGATAGATGATAGAGAGGATAGATGGATAGACAGAGAGGATAGATGATAGAGAGGATAGATGGATAGACAGAGAGGATAGATGGATAGACAGAGAGGATAGATGGATAGAGAGGATAGATGGATAGACAGAGAGGATAGATGGATAGAGAGGATAGATGGATAGAGAGGATATACATGTTATTAATCCCAAGGGGAAATTTGAGGCAACATCTTTTATGTTTGAAGAAACTCCAAACCTGTGTTTTATTTTTGGGGAGTATTTGTGTCCTGGTCTTCATGAAGCCTTTGGACAGATACTCCAGCTCCATCAGGGTTATCTTTGGCCTCTTGGTTACTCTTTGAACAACCTCTGTTGCTTCACCGCTTTCACCACTTAAGTTGTTTGTTTTTTATTTGTAAAATTAGTTTTAAATTAGTTTTCCCCCCTTTTAAACTTCATTAATATGAAGCAGTTTACAAGACAGAGATGAGACCAGCTGTGTTGTATGGTCTGGAGACAGTGGCATTGACAAAAAGACAGAAGAACTGGAAGTGTCAGAAATGAAGATGTTGAGGTTCTCCTTAGGAGTGACAAGGATGGATAAGATTAGGAATGAGATCATCAGAGGTACAACACAGGCTGAACAACTGGGAGATAAAGTTAGAGAGACCAGACTGAGATGGTTTGGACATGTCCAGAGCAGGGACAGTGGATGGGATGTTAGAAATGCAGCTGTTAGGAAAAAAACAAAGAGGAGATATATGGATGCAGTTAGAAAGGACATGGAGATAGTTGGAGTGAGGACAGGATGCAGAGGACAGAGTGAGATGAAGGAGGATGACTCGCTCCCCTGAAGAGGGAACAGCCGAAAGAAGAAAAATATGGAGGTTTTTGTGTGAGCCCATTACTTATGATCAATAAAAAAAATATTGTAAAGCAAGAAAATAGAGACAACACCACACATTTGCATCCCACACTATAATTTATTCTGTTGTCAGACAAGGGAAAGGGAACAAGGCAAAACCCGTCTCACCTCAAAACTCACGGAACCGTTGTGATCCGTGTCGAATGCGTTGAACAGGAAGTGCGCGTATGTCGACGCATCTGTGAGGACAGCAAACAGAAAATGTAAAAACATTAGTGACCATTCCAGCCCAACGCCAGCTGTAACACCTACTGAACAAGAAAATGGTTCAAAGACAAGTTTTTTCCCCTTACTTGTAGCTTTTTAGTGCAACTTCAAAGTAACGAGGCTCTTGATGAAAGACAAGAAAACCATGCTCAGAGATCAGTTTTATTAATGCTTTGTAGTGGACTAAGCCTACGTCGAAACCCAGTCTAAGGTCAAAACTCTTGACCTTTAGAACCTTGTGGGATAGAAGCTGTCATTTCATGTATTTGAATACAGAAATACAGGTTCACCCATCCTGAGACTTTCTTTCTTGAAGATTCAAGTGAAAAGAACACTCTCTTTTTATTATCATTACTATCTTACAAATGTTGATAATCAAAGTGTCTTAGTTCAAACCATTTTAGATGTTGCAGTGAACTAATCAATTTTATTAACTGAGTAATGATTTTATTCTCATGTTAAAAGCTGTGCAGAGTAATTATGCATTTTTCTGATTTCTGCTTTTGAATGAGCAAGTGTGTGCGTTTACAAGGTTACAGTCAAACGAAAAACAAGTTGTTATGTTAAAACTGTCATGTTTTAGAATCCTCTCAGACGTAAATAGAGATGTTTTGCACCTGTGTCTTAAGGCACGCCAAAACAGAACCCTCTCGGTCTGTGAGAACATTTCTGAGCTGTCTCATAACAATTCTCGCTGTCTCTAACCTCTTACGTCACAAAAACACACCCCTTCTGGTCGTTTCTGACCAATGAAAAATCCCAAAAAGTGAACCGGGAAAGAGTCTTTAAAAGGTCAGTACTTCCTGGTCTACAGAGACTCTACAGACTCACAGGGACACGGAGAGACACACAGGTACTCAGAGTTGGAGAGTTGTCAGACTTCTAGAGTTCTGGAGTTCTGATGGAGTGCTGTTGGAGTTCCTGACATGACAACGAAGCTCTTCCGAGTTCCATGGGATTATAACATTTTCCACTGAGGTGAGCTGTGGCGGACAGAACCTCGCCGCTACTCCGGACGAGTAACAGCATCCTACGGAGACGCTGAAAGGGTGCGTTAAACGGAATCTCGCCTGAGACATCTCCAGGTAAAAGAGTCGTTTTCACCACCTAAGTGTACTGTGAGGAAAAGCTGAAGAAAGCCCGGAGAGTGCCGTTCTGTTCAACACTCTACCTCAAACACCATCTTTCTCCCCTTTAAACTTCATCTTTCATCTTAAACTTTTCTATCAAGTAGAAATTCTCCCAGATATTTAGAAATGTCTGTGTAAAGTGCTTACCCACATTCATGTGGGTAAAAGATCATAGTTGTACAGTTATAAATGTATGTTGGTGCAGCAACGGAGAAATCATGGCCGTATGATTTTTCCTGATTGATTGCTTTGTTGTTATTTTCATAATTTGCCAAATTAATGTAAATGTTTGATGTTAAATTTGATTCTGTAAATAAATGACCGCATTCATTTTGATGGGTCAAATTTAAATGACGTCTCACGTTTGCATTTCCTTAAATTCAATGCACGTTTTATTCAGTCCAGAAAAATGAGGAACTCGCGTTAAATGATGAATATATCCCAGCATCTGTTCATCTACAGCTTCCTGTGTGTGGGTGCCATTATGTTTACCGGTCTGCCTTTCTTCTCTCTCTCTCTCTGCCTTTAATCAAAGTCTCCCGATGCTTTTACCGTTCTGTCCTTCAGTAGATTTGTTGCATAATGATAAAAGCCAACACCGGGAAAAATCAAGGCTGTGTAAAAACAAAATACTTTTCTACCTTTGTCTCTCTCTATCACAGCATGTGCTTTGATCCAAGGATAAATTAAAGTAACCTGGTGCCATTTTAGTCAGTTCAGGTCACAGAGGAACCGAGAAGTGCCTAGGAAGCAAAACTGTGAAAGTAAAGACGAGGCATATACCTCCTTGTGGGAAGAACTGTGCGTAGATGTCTTTAAAGGTATCTTCGTTGACGACTCCGCTGGGACATTCCTGAAACACAAAACGGGATAAAACGAGTCATTTACCACCGATAACACACTCTTTATAATTAAAACAGTTTAATCTGTTTAAGTGGAGTCCTGTTAAACGTTATGAACAATTAACATCTTACCTGTTGTAGATAACTTTTTGAACAACCACAGTTTGGAAAATGGAGTTTAATTTTTACTGGACTGACAAGATATCAGCAACATCACATCAGCTGACAAGCACGGTAGTGGAGGGCTGATGATTGGGGCTTGTTTTGAAGCTTTAAGGCCGAGTCCAAAGTGGATTACTGCCGTCTTAAAATAACTAAAACCAAAAGAGAATCTGTAACTCTTAATGCAAACCCATCTTATGAACCTTCACACTGCTGTCAAAACACAGATTTATATGTTGAATTCTGTTTGCAAGCTCAACTAGCAGCAGCAGCTAGCTGTAGCCATTCTGATGCACTTCCAGCCAGGATATCATAATTTTGCCAGAATAATGGTTTAATGCTAAACAGATACAGTGGTTTATAAAACAGCACTCGCAAGAACTACTAACATTTTTGAAATTGTTGTTTTAAAACGGCAGCAATCCACTTTGGTCTTGGCCCTGCTCAGACTAGCCGTAAGCTCGTCAGTTCCATCAAATTTAGACTCTTTCTCCAAACAGAGGCCAAACACGGAGCAAGACATGAGCTTTTCAAAATAAAGGGTGGGACTCTTTAGTCACCCAACGATTCAGTTACAATTCAGAGAGCTGTGACGAGACAATGCAGCTGTTATTGATGCATTTTGACTATGATGCATCCCCCATCTCCCCCATGTGATTACTTAAAGCAAAGTATTTGTATACTGCCAATTATTCCAGTCGTGTAGTTCTCTCAGCCATCTTGTACAAATACCGGTATTTGTTATATGCTCAACATCAATGTGCTCGAGCATCAATGTGTGGCATGGAGGCTGCACAGCTGCAGAAAGAAAAGCTTTGCAGAGAGTGGTGAAGGCTGCACAGAAATCTGTTGGAATCAGCCTCCCCACCATCACAGACATCTACACCTCCAGATGCAGGAAGAGGGCCACCTGCATCATGAAGGACCCCACTCACCCAGCACACACACTTTTTGCCCCACTCCCCTCAGGAAGGAGGTTAAGGAGCATTAAGTGTAGAACCACTAGACTGAGGAACAGCTTCTACCCTGAGGCTGTTAGACTCATGAATCTCTAACTAGAATAATCACTGTGAAAAACCATATCATGTTGCTGCTGATCTGTTTCAATGTTGATGTGTTCATGCGTGCACATCTGCTCACAGACTCATGTTCATGTTTGTGCTGATGTTCAATGTTTTATGTTATGAGTGCTTAGTGTATATTTAGTTGATGTTTTTCTTAGTTCATATCTTAGATGTTATTACTGTTTTTCTTAGACATTTTATTGTTGGATGTAACTGGGACCCCGTGTACATAATTTCGCTCCACCACATGTACCACATGAGGTGCGAATGACAACAAAGAAACTCTGACTCTGATAAAGCAGTGGTGTGTGATCCTGGCCCTCGAGGACCACTGTCCAGTTTTTGTCGGTCCACTGCTCAGACATACTTACAGTACTTACAGGGTAATTACCTCTTCAGCATGTTCAAGTTCTGTAGAAGCCAGTTAAATACCTATCAGTTTTAATTAGGTGTAATGAAGGAGAGAAACATTTGACACACGCAGGACGGTGGCCCCCAAAATACTGGTATGGCCCCCCACTGCCAAAAACTGGCTAGACTCTTTACTTTCACACGTAAGAGTTGCATCTATCGTGTTCCTCACTCTTATTTTACAGCTTAACATCAACAAATGTGATTTTTGACATCTGGAAATCCCTTTAGAACATTATACGTTTGTGATGCATATAAAAATATTTACCCCCCACCCCCCAACTCTACAACACACTGCATTTTCCTTAAGAGTCCCACTTTAAAAGATCTTAAACCACTCCACATCAAGGGCTTAAATTTGAGTTTTGCCTTAAAAACGAACCAACTGAACAGTTTTCAGTGGAAAGATGTATATTTTTTTGGAATGGAAACCTTTATTTTCCCCCTGTAGGATGCATTTTTATCCCTTGCCTCGTCTTTGATTCTTTGTACAAACCATAAACCCGCTCAGTCTGGTGGTATTCAACTGCAAACATCCACGCCTGAACAGAGATCTTATCTGCAGCCATTCAAAGTCACCCACCTGAGCTTGTCTGCTGGCATTCACTGAAAAAGACTCTTGCATAACACCTAGAAGAAGGACACCTTTGTGTCATTTCAAAGAACCAAAAGATATTGGAGATGACCTTGCTCAGAGCAGCGTGGCGATAAAAGAAGGCAGTTCTGCAGGAGCAAGTTCTCTCTCTCGGTGCGAGGCACTGCACACTCAAGAAAAATCAGAGTTAAATTGAAAAACGGGGTCAATGCTCTGCGTATGTGTGATTTCCAGAGCAGAAACCATGTGCTTCTCTTGGTTTTATGGAACAGAAAATGAAAATAAAGGCATGATGGGTACACATCTATGTAGAGCTTTCTAATGCAATGGAAAAGACTAACTCATATCTGAGGTTTTTGTAATTCCAGGCACATGTTGGATACTATTAACATTTCTGGGTTATTTGGCATTTCCTATAATTGTTGCCCAATATCACTTAAAACATCAGATTTATACTCGAGACTCACAAATCAACAAAGCAACCATTTAAAACAAAAACAAGAGCGCTGCATACAGCACACTGTACACCCCTTGACAAACTATTATACAGCCATCTATAGTGATTGAGTAGACAAGCAGAGACCTTGTATAACCTTTGACCTTGATTTGTGACCTTCACCGTGGAGCTTGTCCTTGGTGAGGAAAATGATACACAACTCGCTGTCTAGTAGTGAAGAAATGTCTATCAAGTTTCATTTAATTATCTTGAACAGATCTGAATTTCTGGGTGGGGCAAGAGAAAGTTTATGGACCGATACTACTGTAGTCCCTCATCTGTCACGGGGTTACTTTCCAAACACCCCCGTGATAGGTGAAAATCCACAAAGTAGGGACGTTATATTTATTTTCGTATTTATATGCATATATTTGCATATATCGTCCTTCTTGATATAGTGAGCATTGCCCCAGGTAAGAACTTGATGCGTCGGGGTCCGACAGCAACGACGTACGCGGAGGGCCGACGCAACTCCTGCATGGTGACCTCCGCCCTCCTTCCCCTGCTGGAGCGGGTCTCCTCTGCCGGTCCCAGGAAGGTGAACGCGAGGACACGGGCAGCATGAAGGAAGGTCTCCACCAGCAGCCGCACCCCACGAGCGCTGCAGGCTTGATGAGAGAACGCACCTCTTGGACGCATGCCCGGAGGTATGCAGACGGGGGGGTGGGGTGGGTTGGGAGGCTGTACTGATGCCGGCGGAACGGTCGCCGTCCCCTTTAAGGACCGGACTGTCCAGTCCTTAAAGAGCACAGTGAAAGAGAGCAGACAGACTGATGCTATGGTTACTGAGCCAATTAGCACCTGGGATACAAAGCGCAATGCTCCGGTTGGTTGCCTTCCATCAATCAGCCAATCATGAGTCGTGTACAATCTTGCGTTGAAAACCTGCGCAACTGTGAGAACGTGAAAGTCGAACCGCAAAGTATTAAGTGACTGCTGTACACCAGAATATGCCCACCTTTTGACGGGCGTGTAAAAATGCACATAGGTTTCTTAGCAAATAAATGAAATAACATGGTGTTAAAGTATGGAAATATTTTGGATAAGGGTTTAGATCAGGGGTGTTCAGTTCAGGTCTTTGAGAGCCACTATCCTGCAGGTTTTAGAGGTTTCTCAGTTCCAACACACCTGACTAAAATCAAACAGTGCTTAACAGGCTCCTGTAGAACATGAACAGGTAATTCAGTTCTTGAATCAGGTGTGTTGGAGCAGGGAAACAAGTAAAACATGTAGGACAGTGGCCCTTGAGGACCAGGATTGGACACCCTTAGTAAAATAAGAGCTGTTTCAAGCAATAGACTGACCACCAGGTGAGTATTTGAGAAGATCAAAAAGACCTAAGGCCAGTAGTTCATTTTATGAAACCATTACTTGATATTACTCACTTTTTTTGCTGAACAAAAAACAAATGGTTTACTGATGAGGAAGCTCTTCTGTTGTTTCAGTTCTCTGATAAAACAGTGTGAAAGAACAAACTTTGTCAAATGAACATAATAAGCCAGACTTCTCACTTCCTGTGATCATGTATGAATATTCATGTGGAACAGAGCAGACAAAGAATAAATAAATAAATAAATAAATAGAAATTAATTTCTGAAGACATTTTAATGGGTGCCAATGCAGAAACAGCCCAAAACGTCCAACAAACACCAACTTTCTTTCACAAAGTTCAAAACCAACTGGACATTTAAATTTGTGATAAGCAGACAAAATGCCTACATTTAGAGGTATAAGAAGTGTAATGGGAACAAAGATGAAAAGAAATGTTGAAATTGCTGCCAGTAGCTCATTTTAGTAACCGTGATGCACTTATGCATCTCTTACTTTCAGACGGCAAAATCAATAGAGACAGACAGAAACGGACTGAAAAGTAAGTCTCAAATTGTTGCTATGTGGAAACTATGACTTGTTTCTTAAAAATGATTGAACTGTGAGCAATAGAAGACAGATAAAACGATAAGTCCTGCAGAAAACAAAACAAAAAATCTCATGATTAGAGGTCTAAACTATATAAGAAGTGCGGACATATGAAGATTTGGTAGCAAAACTTTTTACGAGATTAAACAGCTCAAATATTTAATGTCTGAAATGATCATATCCAAGTAAAAAAAAATTGGTGGCAAAATCTTCAAAAATCACTTAAATTAAACTAAAAATCACAAAAGACGAACATTTCAGTCATGTTATGTGAAGTCTGATTTTCCATGAGTCGTTTAAACTTTGTTAGATGTTTCTACTACAAGTCTGTTCTAGTACTCCAAAAAGGGCTGGGTTTTCATGGTA